AAACGTTTTAATACTTCACAAAGAAACAAACTACACAAACTAGCATCAAAGAAAATAAACAATTGACAAATGTTTTTCTCTTTTGTTATTAATCCATCATGCTTTGGTTCGGGGGAACTGGGCTCGAAACCGCATTGTCCGCGGGCCCGTGAGCGACCTGGCCAGCGGCAGCATGAGGTAAGGGGGCGTTACTGGGGGTACTCGGGGCTGATGCAGGGGAGGCAGCATTCGATCCCATGAATGACACCGGGGTACTGCATCCAGAATGAGGATGGGAGCCCATCTGAGGAACAGAGCCAGGATTCATTACTGGAGCTGGTGAGGCAGAGGCGGACGGTGGATTGGATCCGCCAGGCTGACTGTTACCTGCAACTAACAAAAATTCTCCTTACAGCAAGATTTCTTTTGTCTTGTCATGATCATGGGAAAACGAAAACAAATTCTGATTTTACGATCCGATGCTTAAACACTGAGCTATTGAGACAGGATCCGTACCCTTTTTCAGAAACAAATTTCAAAGACCTTTCCACGACTCGGATTAATTTTTCCAGGACTCCAAATTTCGCCTTACACCCTTTCATTACCGAGATTTCAAAATCAGTTCTCCTTGCAGTCAACAAATATTTCTTATAACGCAAATTCTGAAATTTTTATTTCTTGAGTTAAGCAGATTTCTAGGACTTTCCAGGGCCTTTAGTCTTTTCTCAGGACTTTCAATTCCTGGAAAATGTCAAAATAAAATTCCATGACTTTCCAGATTTTCCGGAACCTCTACGAAGCCTGTAGATAATATGGTGAGCTGAGCCATTAAAAGTTTTTTCAGAATATGTATTTGAAAATACATTCCTGACATTTTGCTCTAAGAAAACAGATTTCCCGCATCATATTTGACCAATCACGTTTGATCTTTTCAAAAACTTTCCAAAAAAGTCTATTTAACCACGTTTTGCAACAAATTACAAAGTTCTCAGACAAACTTCCTCATTTCAAGCAACACACACCCTTGTCGGTTCAAACTTACCCACGTTAGCTCAAACGAACCCTCAAAGACTTACGTTTTGATCTAAAATATATCCTCTAGCTAATAACGGTTTGAAATTACACTCTTATCCTCTTAAGGTTTTACCAGCATAACTCTAAGCTTTGTGCACCCAGGGATAAACCACCCTTTGAAATCTTTCCATGATGTGAAGTTATCATAGGATTCTCTACAAGGTGCTAATCTTCCAAAACTAAACCAAAATTTCAAGCGAAAGCATCTAAGCTTGGAAATGGGATGGATAAAAGAGTAGAACGTACTGAAGATTTATTTCATTTAATTCCATTTCTGTTCTCAAACGAGATTTCTTTTCCCCCAAGATTTACTGACCCGCTCCCTCTTTTTTTCTGTGAGTTTCCTACCTTGTGGCGCGGGGCTGGCGACTTGTGGCGCTTGGCTGGTGGCACCTGGATGAGGAGCCGTGGGCGGGGCTTGCTGCGAATGCCTAAGCTTTGGCTGTTGATGTGCCTGTGCCTGCTGCTGCTGTTGTTGTTGTTGCTGTTGTTGCTGCTGTGGTGGGATCTGCAGCTGAGGTTGGGATGTCTGTGGTTGTGGTTGCAGCTGCGCAGGAGAGGCAGCTGACGGGGAAAGGTGACCGGCAGAAGCTCGAGCGCGCAGCTCGGCGGCCTTCAGTTGTTCTTGATGGAATTGTTGTCGTTCAGCAAGTAGCTGTTGACGCTGATATTCCAACTAGTGAGAAAATATAACATGGAGAGTGGTTAGTAAGAGCCACAGGCACACTGAGTCGAACAAGAGGAGCTGTGCCTGTCCATGAAACAGGAGCACGCTCTGCTTGCGGACTGTTTCGTTAAGAACATGTCTCTAATCAGTTGAATCCTTTTCCTATGTCAATACGAGCAGGCCCTTATTTCTAGCACTTCAGCATCAGCGCTTCTTCCCTCGCGAGAAGTGTGGGACCTTTAGCAAATCACGACGGCGACGGCAACGAGGACGTGGTAAAATAAAAGAACTAATGAGCAGAATAGCTCAGAACACGCGTTTTAAGACAGCGTATATTTCTTCGCCGTCCTCTGAAAAATAACAACGTGAAATCATCAAAATTTTCGTAGTCCGAGAACGGAAACCCCGACGGCAATTTATTTAAGTTTCCATTTGGAACTCAGCGCCGCGCTCAGACGTTATGCTGAGGTTAACTTGCGGCGCCGTAAGAGATGGTAAACACATCCAGTCACTCACGAGATTCCAACTGTAACTATATGTTCATTTTTAAATCGACGTCTTCCTTGGCGTTGCCTTCCTAACTGCTAAAGGTCCTTAGTAGGAGGCCGTGAGAAACGCGAGCCGGCAAAATTTTTGCTACGGGACTAGCACTAATCCGGGAAAACTCTCCCCAAACCGAAAAAAAAAAAAAAAAAAAAAAAAAAAAAAATGAAAGATGAAGGGAAAAGATCACGAGCAAAAAATATCAAGAGATCCAATTCTTTCATTTCTTATTTGAACATGTTTAATCTTCAATGACACTCCTTTGCAGGAAAAAGAGGGACATAATAATACGCGGGAAGCCCATTCGCGGACAATGAAACAAAAGAAGAAAACGAATCATCGAAACCGAAAAAAAGAACCACAACAACCCAGGAAAGAGGAGTGCTCAGTTAACCCTAACATCATTACCAATATTCTCCAAACGGTACACTATATATTTCCAAGGATGCTGACAAGGAGAATTTGTTTAACAATCAGGAGCTTCTTTCACTAGTGATCGTTTCCTCTATTGTCGTGACCTTAACGTGTGATTGGGGAGGCATTGTCAGAAGAAATTAGACGCTGGTCACTCGAAGGAGTCAAGGGTTTAAGAGAATTACTAAACTAAATAGCAGATTGCGTTTTTTAATTTGATTGCTTAAGATAATACGTTGTCCCTTTTTTGTACTCAACCCTTTTTGGAAATGATTAATGGTAGATACAGAGGAATGGTATTCAAAATAATCTCCTTATTGAATTAACTTTAACAATTAAAAAACAGCTTTACCGCTTCTCGTTCACGGTCCATGATGGTTTCAAGTTCTTCAAAGTGGCGCAGTTTAATTTCCAGTTTCTTCATCTGAGTCTCCACAAGAAGCGCTACAAGACTCTTGATCTTCCGCTCCTCAACCTGCGCCAGATGCTGTCCGAGAAGCAACCGTGACAGAAACAGATTAGACGAACAAACAGCAATAGTTCCAAATATTAATCATATCATACAGAAGAAAAAGGTGAGCACAAAGGTGATTTAAATACCACATGGCAGAATATTTTGACAAAACTCGAGGTGTTAGGAAATCCTATGAAATAGTCTGTCATTGTGAGGAAACAGAGCCATTAGTGGATGAGGTCATCGACATCTCAACGAACTAAAAATCGTCTCAAACACTGATCACGGCTTACTTAGTTTGCACGTAATCAAAACCACTTTGTAGCTACATTGTATCATGATACCCCTACTGTTGCCGCAATAACTTGAGAAAAATAAACCAACTAAATTAGAGAAAACAAACGAAGGCATCGAATGAACTAAACGAGACCAGAGCTAAGGACCAAAGAAGGCTAAGATGAGAAAAAAGTTCGATGGCATTCTTGCTCGTTTCCTGTATTCGGATTGGTTAGTGTTGTGTTAGTAGCCTCGGTAACAGTAGCCACACTGTAGGCTATATAAGCTGTACTCGTTCTCGTCACTGAATTTATGATGTAGAGTTTGGTTATCAACGGACAGGGTCCATCTTGATTGGAGTCAAAAGAGGAAATTTGTCGATTGTTTAAGAACAGGTCGGTGTGATTTAAAGCTGTGCACTCAAAAGCATTATGGGCATCCTGAAACCCGATCTTGTCTCAGAAATCTGAGGTGCCTTGCTTTCAGACGCCTACTTAAAGGAAACGTTTGGCATGTTGCCTACAAACTAAAGTTGGCCGCCTTATCGACTGTGCCGATCAGAATAGAGAGCACCTATGATCGTTCTTTAGTTTCGTGTACCTTTGCTTTGACTGCAGCGGCTGCTAGGGCTGAAGCCGCCGCCTTCGCGATGTTTTCTTCGTTTATAGCCGGTGTTTTCTCGCCGTTCTGCGCTTGGCTACTTGGCTCGGAAGACTCTTCCGCCTGAGATGAAAAACATAAAGATTGACAAAAATTATTTACAACATCGTATCTACGGATTGTATAGATAGAGGTCGGAGTACAACTACAGAGCGAGATAAACTTGCTGATGCTGATAAGGACATCCTCAAACAGGGCGAACCACCTCATGGATTCCTCGAGGATATTATCCATTCGTTATAAATTGTTCAATCAAAATTGAAGCAGTTTTTTTTTTCCGTTGAGATTCTCAGCGCAAGTACATTGTATTGGCTACGTAAGGGTACGGCGAAAGGGTAAACAAGCAATCAAACAAACCAAACAGGTAAACAAACAGACGAACAGGTTCCCCGTTTTTCGTATTGAAGGAGACAAACAAAACAACAACAACAACGAAGATACGGAAAAAGTCAATAGGCTTCAAAAACGTTCCCAGATAAGCGATAGCTACAAGAAAAATAAATTTAACATTCATCTTCATTTAACTCTGACCTTTGCATCTTGAGCTCGTGTCTCTCCTCCCTCGGGGACAGTTGCCTGGCTTCCATTCACTTCCATGGGTTGTGGTGTTTCTTCTGAATAACACAGGGAAAATTAAAGGATTTATTTACAGTTGCACGATCAGTTTTGCTATGCAGTGTGATGTGTAAGAGAAAAGTAAAATTTTCGACGTGTAGGCTCAAAAACCTAACCACACAATAAGGAGATTGAAAACAGTCCATGCTACCTTTGCTTTCGTCTGAGTTTTCTTGCTTCACTTTCTCCGCTCGTGCATTTGCAGCATTCTTAACATGGCTGTCAATAACTGACTGCGGTATCTCGTCCTTCATCTCAGAGAACTTCTCTGTTGACAAAAAGAGTTGTGTTTCAAATTTAATGTTCGACTTTCGTCACGGAAGGTTTTGCAATGGCAAGCAATGATATCCACCCTTGCGTGACAATCACTTACAAAAATACACACCGCAAAAGAATGCAGAAACGTCAAAGAAAAGTCAAATACTTATCTCATACCAGGACTGTTAATTTGGCCAAAATAACAGACTAAATTGAACAGCTACCCACCTAGAGCAGCTTTAGCAGCAGCACTGGCGACCCGAGGATCCACAACAGAAGCAAGAAAAGCTACAGTAGACATGATAGGGTTACCCTGCTGACTGAACGGCGTGGGCTGGTGTGATAAGGGACCTAAAAAAATGAGAACCACAATGAATAGGGGTGAATTAAACTGAGTTTACACCCACATCGTCAACATTTGTACTATTACACCTAACATCAAAGTGATGCTTGAGCATCTCCGTCGTTCAACGAACTTTAGGGAAGCAGTCGAAAGCACCAGCATAACACAGAAAGTTTTGAACAAAACCAAAAAGCGAGGGATATTATAAACAACTCCAATTAAGTAACCAATATCTAATTTATAATGCAACATCCTTCTCGCAATTCCACGCAATCTCAACCTGTAAATGTTTTCCAGTGGCAGTGTCAAAGTGTCAGGTTCTGAGAATGAATTAACTCTGTCCCATAATTTGCTATCTGCTAGATAGCAAATTATCCACCAAGTCCTGGCCAGATAGTGAATATTAGACCGCATTTCGACTGCATGTCATAAAAACCAAACCCAAAGTTATTGCAACAGCCAATCAATCAGAGGAAAGAAAAACCAGTATCGCAAGGAGTCCATGAGAAGTCAGACTAAAACCGGGCAAACTGCTTGATGCGCAGGAAAACGCGATTGACCGAGTCGCGCTTGGTTCTAGTTTTGAATGTGATTAGTTGAGAAAGTAACGCGAGTTTTCTGCACCAATCACAGAGCCATTAATTATCATAACTGTTTGCATCTAGACTCTTACCCAACTGTACATCCTCAAGGTACGGGTCTTCTATCGGAAGCCTAAGGAAGTGCAAGATACATTCATCTTGAGTTCGTGTTCCGACATGTTCAGCCACCTTGTTCCAGTCGTCTTTGAACATTTCCAGGCCCTGAAAAGGATACATCATCAAAATATAGTTTTATATGCACTTTTCTTTGAAACTGACTCTGGTACAGTTTCTAGGGTTAGCGAATGTACAAGCTCCGTAGCCCGTTCGATTAGACTGATGATACCCAAGCGACTTTACAATACCTGCGCGCGTCCTGAATAAATCTGCGGGGCAACAGTAAATTTTTTCGGATCGTTGAGAGGACTGAAGCACGAGAACATCTTCATGTACAGTTTGTATAAATAATAAATCACGACATATAACACATTTCTGAAATATTTTCAACCGCTAAAGTCTTCGAGAGGATTCACAATACCACAAAGACAGAAAAAAAAAAAAAGCTCCCGAAACCTGTGATGTTCTATATCGGTGGGAAGGAGTTAACAAGCTAACATTTCATGGACATGTGAAAGTACCTCTAAAAGGAGGAGTGTCTCTTGTTCCGTCCACTCCTTTGTGGCTGTTGCAGCCTGCATGATAATCACAAAAAAAGACAAATTGTAATGCTATAGACACAATAACTGAGTAAGCAAACTTACAGAAGCAGTCATAGTGTCTTACACTTTGACAGAAATACATTCTAGGCAAAACCTGAACTCTACGCGAGAACACTGGGTCTTAACCTTTCCCCCACCCCTCCACCCTCGTTTTTATATGCCCAGTGAGGAAGTCAGGCCACGTTAGACAAAACGGTGAAAAAGATAGCAATTGTAGCTCTATAGCAGGACACAGTAAAATCAACATTTCCTAAACAAGGATTAGACAAATTGATCTCTTTGTCATAAAAGCAAACTCTGCCATTTTACCTTTTGACTCTTTTTAGATAGGTACTGGTCTGAACGAAGGCTAAAAGACGAAGGAAAAACATAAAACAAGTCAACAAAGTGCATGATGCCCGCTACGACAGATCTTGATCGAATAATTATGATTCAATTTATGACCATGATTTAGCCTGTGTGGCAGTCTTTTGAAATAAGAGGTAGCCGCCCAAACGCGTAATAAGGAGAAAATTACGGGGAGTAGGGGGGTTTGTTTGTTTTTGTTTAGCCTCTCCTCGTGCCATATCTTCACGTGAGTGGAAACGATTTCTTCGCAGGCTAACCATGGATATGATTGTTATGTCTCTGCTGCAAGCCAAGCCATAACAAATAAGTTAATCTTCGGCATCTTACCCAAAGTTTGCTCCTGTCACACCGCTCTTATAAGTCTCTTTTCCTCCCAGGTCATCTTTGAATTGGATGATTTGTTGGGAGGCAGGAATCTGGGGAAAATCGAGCAGATAGGGTACAGTTAGGAGAATATCAAGGTAGGAAACTGAAATGCTCACATAGGTCATGTTCCCAGGGTAACCTTTAAAAGCTAACTGGTCTCCGTAAGATCACATTCCCCTTAGTATCGCCCAAAAAGGCGTTGGATAGTGTTTTAAATCAGATTAAATATTGTATACGTATAATCCGATGAAATCTGCCCTGATTTGGTTTCTTCTTCATTTTGAAAACGTGTTTCTCAATCGAGAAAAAAGGAAAGGCGTACACAGAGAAAACTGGTTCATTCGATGAGCATTTCAGTATCAACAGTGAGAGCAGGCCGGCCAGATCAGATCATTCATAGAGAGAATTCCGTTCGTTGGTAGAACAGAATTAACTCTCTCCACAGAGCAATCATTTTCTAAATTTTGTCCTCCCCTCTGGTGCATCCCTTTAATAAAGTTCCGAGAAACGCTCGGCAAAAAAAAAGCCCGATCACTTTAGCGTTTTTATCTGCTGCCTATGGATGATTTTTTGTTACTACCTGTGCTTTCGCAGGTTGCAAAGGCTGTAAACCCGCAGGAGTATCTGCTAACACATGGAAGTGAGATGTAGAAGGTGGCCCCATAGGCGCCGGACGGCCATCTGCGTCTACTTGATAATTGATCAGACCCCACTGCTCCAAGAAGGCATGGATCCTGAAATAAGAGGAAAGCACGTGTCAACCCTAATCCGTGTAATAGGAAGCACAGGCTTCACGAACAGAAACGATGCATATTAAACGGTGAGTCGGTAGGTCACACGTGGGAAGGGGGTATGGCTGGCGCAAGCGGAGCTGGCCGGGATGGAACAATATTGAGAGGGGGTCACCTCTCATCTTTGTGATCCAGGTTCAATTCTAGGCCCTAGAGTCACATATGGGTTGACTCTGTAACTGGTTCTCATTCATTGCTCTGAGGATATTTCTCCGGGTTCCCACTACAAATCAAACACTCCAAATTTCAACTTGAAATGGAGGTATTGAACGAGAGAAGCACTCAATGGATGCGCTTCTGAGAACCTCTAACGTATTTCATTTCAGTCAACATGATTCAAGAGAGACTGGGTGGTCCTGACGAACAAAGATATCAGTTTTTACTTACCTCACAATCGCACACACATCACCGCATAGATTTCGCCGGCAAGCTGTAGCAGTCAGATATTCCGTTGGATTCAGTCGATAAGCATCGAGCATAAAGTTTCGGCAAGCCAGATACCTTTAAAGAAGAAAACAACAGACTTACAAGGAGGACATTGATACGAGAATCATATAAACTCTTCATTCCACTCTGGAGAGTTATCCCTAAAAGTTTGTCAAATTTCATGCCCTTTTATTAACAACAAACCATTTCAAGACTAACCTTACCCAAGCAACAACACCACCAAATCAGTTGCAACTCTCGGGTTTAAACTGTTCGCTATCTAATATTAACTTGTTATCACATGCAGTTCGAAAGTATCTACGCATGTTTTCAAAATTTTCGCCAGCATAAAACAAAAACTTTTTAGAATTAATAAACTAAGTTCTTTCTTACAAAATGCTACATTCAAGAATAAATAAATCCTCAAAACTGAAACACGGTAGTTTCAGAGGCGGGCCCATCGCAAATCTCGTGTACAAATACCCTTTTTGTAAAGTGTGAATAACGGAATTAAAGTACAGCACAGCTGTGATTTTTTACGACGAACAAAACTTTTGTCAAACTGAACCATGCACGTCATAAAATATAAATATAAGGAAATAAAAACAAAAAAAAGTTTAAGGAGAGTCAATTTTCAACAAAGAAAGAGAAAGGATAGAGAAATTAAACGCGAATTTCACAATTTAAATTTAAGAATATTGAGTTGAAGTAAATTTTCCAGATGCAGAAGCCTTGATGTGGCTCTGTTAAAAAAATTCAAAACACGCAAATGAACTGGCCCAGACTGGTCTCCCTTCTTTAGGTTAGTCTGTCAAGTGAGGTTAAACGCACGAAAACTGGGAGGGAAATGCTGCCCTTGTCCATAAACTTGGATAGCAATAGATTTTTGAAACTACGAAGTACGAAAATAGAAACAAATTAATGAAAGAGGCATGGAGCGGCTGTGAATCTTTCTTATAATAAGTGTACATGCACACTTAAATCGAAATGTTGACGAATCCTTCCCTCTCAGTTACTCACACTTCAGGAGACTTGGATTTGTTTTTTCCGTTGAAAAACTCCGGCAGGGCTCTTCTTTCAATGGCGTGGACACTGTACAGAAAAAGAGATACATAATGAAAAAATAATCGCATTTATTTGAAAAAAAAAAGTTTCAAGCACCATATATTAACTGCGTTCCAGTCATCCATCCACTTGTTCTATAATTTTCACCCGTGCATTTGTAGAAGCACTCGTCACTCCCAAGTACACGCAGTTGTACCTCAGTAGAACGTAGATACAGTGGCGGTATTCTAGTAGGTCTCGACGAATGTATCTGTACTGCTTCAACGCACCACAACTGTCTCTTCATACATGTAAAAAAACCCTGACCCGACTTTATTTCACTCGGTTCGTCTCGAAAAATTGCTCGGCATCGTTCAACAATAGTCAACTCAAGTGGACTAAGCTGCCTTGATCACAAATAACAGTTCAGCATAAAAATATGAGTTCAGGAAAAGAAAAAAAACAGGTTAATTCATTTTCATACCTGTTGTAGTCAAACCAAGAGGCGTAACTGGGTATGATGATGTGATGCGTCTGCTCCGTAAGGTTCTCATCGTGAGCTTCTGTGTCTTGCAGGACAAGCGGTTCTTTGAAGATTCCATCTTTCGTCTGGCTGGATGAAGGTGAGGCAGGCGCAGACTGCTCTGTACTGTCTTCGGGTTGATCCTTAACAGTTCAAAGGTAAGTTAATATATAGGGGCATTTCAAATGCCAGTATCAAACTTCCCACATGATATCAAGAGACTTTGAGCAGCTTTACAATAGAATATAACATGTTCCTATGCCAGGGTTACCTGCGTAGAAAGCGTCCTTTCTTTGATGTTTTTAAGATGGAGCGTAGAGGGCGGTATGGCGGCAAGACTAGGAAAGAAATCACGCACGCTTTCCTCGTGCTTCCTCGCAGTTACCTCGCACTCGTCACGCGAAAAAAGAAAGGCGCTTTTCTCGTGAGCTACCCAAACCCGTGAGGGGCAAGCATCAACCAAAAAGGAAATGAGATGAGAGTGGATGAAGACGATGGACAAGGGTTGCACATGACGAACTTGAGGATTTTAATTAATTACTATAGCAAAGCCCTTTCTTTAGAGACCCACCTACATGTACGATGCAAAAACCTGACAAAAAAGAAAAGCTGAAAGAAGTATCATCATACTTGTGTATCCGCTTGACTTTCGGTCTCCATTTCTTCCACATCGGCACCCTCTGGCTTTCCTGGTCATGAAGACGAAGGGTAAAAATTTCTTTTCAATTTTACAGCAGTAAAAGATAGCTGCAAAAGTTAGTAAGCGCTGGGAACGTCAATACAGAAGGGCGGGAAAAGTCTTTGTCATAAGCCCCTTTTTAAGTTCTAAGATCGAAAGCTTCTTTAGTCTAAAATTCAAGATTAAGTGACTGGAATCATTATTGATATCATGTATGAATTAACCCAAATATACTAAGCAACTGTTTATTTTGCTGACAGGTCTACCAAAAGAAATGACAAATTTTACAAAGGCAAATAAAAAGCACTTTTCTAGCGTTTTATCGCGTAATAACATACTTGGGGTGTTGAGAGAACACGAAAAAACGTGAAAAGCGCGGTCTACCGCGTAAATACACTGGAAATGGATAATTGCCTTAGGATGGGTTCATGTATATAAGAGGAGGGGGGGGGAGGGTTGGGTGAAGGTACACAGTACATGAGGGATGGAGAACGACGAGATCTTTATTGGTACCAGTGTCTAACCTGAATCTGAAATGTCCGTCAATGAATTTCCTTTCAAAGGTTGTAGATCAGCTTCTTTTCCCTTGGAGCCTATGAAAGCACAGATGTTCAGTGTAAGTGAACATTAACTACATTTAAATGTTTTTAAATCTGCGTTTTCATATATTTTATTTGTTTAGCTGACGAACTGTTTTCCTCCCTCATGTCAACATTATAATCCTGGTTACATGACAATCTGTATGATAAGAAACCTTGTTACGTTGTTTGTGTTCTTACCTGAGGTACTCGAAGCAGAGACTTCTTCAACCTATAAACAGGAAAAAAACCTCAGTACCGCTCAAAAGTGAGCTGACAGTCTCTTAAAACTCGATTCTCTATTCTCGATCCTCGAAAACTTCGAGGATCGAGGATCAAGGATCGAGTCGAGTATCGAGACGCTCGAATAAGGTTTTGGGACGCTCGTATCGAGTTTCGAGACGCTCGATTTGAGTTTTGAGACATTCGAGTAGAGTATCGAGACGTTCGAGTCGAGTATCGAGACGCTCGAGTCAAGCATCTAAACGCTCGAGTCGAGTTTCGAGTTTTGTGAACTTACTTTAACCTGAAAAACAGCTGAGACAGTGTAGATAACCACTTACATTGGGAATGGGTGATGGATCAGGAAGATCTTTAGTAGCATCGTCACTAAAACAAACGAAGAAAACCGTTAGATGGCCCTCACTTGACACTAAGATGCTCAAATTGTTAGCTTCATTTCCATATACATTCCAAATGAAATCAATCTGTGAAGTACCTGTCATTTTCCTCCTCTTTTCCAGATTTTTTCTTCGGATTTGCTGGTCCCACTCTATCAAGAAAATATATTCTTCCGCATTATTCAATTTTTGGATCACTTTAAAATACTGTTTCATATTCAAAAGAAATGAAATCTGAAGAGAAAAGTTTCTGATATGTTTCCGACTGTATTATTTCAAGAGGAACCCAAAGTTCCTCAGGTTTCCTCTCAGAAATCTAATATGTCCTGGTCTTAAAAGTTTTCATAAAAGTGAATTTAGGAAAGCCACCCAAATACAAAAGTAAGTAGCCTGTGGCTCCTGAGCTCAGCTAAAGCCCAAGCTTGGTATACCTGTATCAGAAAGTGACATTATCCTTATTTAGTACATCAAAGTTAACATTCTGAAATTAAAGTCGACTTACATTTTCTTTTTCTTCTTTAGATCAGGTGATGGGGATCTCTTTCTTTTCTTAGATTTCCCTTTAAATAAAGAGTCAGGTTTAGCAGTGTAAGAAAACATTTAGGTGTATGTAATCTTAGAAAAATGGATTATTCTTACAAGTGGGTTTATTAACTGCCCTCACATAACCTGTAAAAAGAAATAATTTGTTTCTTTAATTGCTCATTTTTTAAATGAATATCTGCAGGTATCAAACCCTTTTAACAATTTTTCATTACTTTATGGATAAAAGCATTCTATCATTTAGAGAGAGAACCTTATCTAGGCCACAGGTTTGTAATTATTAAAAAATAAATAAATAAATAAAACAAACGAATGAATAGTATTCCCAGAATTACCTCCATCAGGACTGCCTGGTTGCTGCAAAATGAAAAGAAAAAGCTTTGTAATGGAGACACACAGAAATAAAAAAGATAAGGTCTTGTGATTCCTCTTATCAAAAGGTTAAGAAGGCTGAATTACATTGTATTGCTATATCCACAAGTAGAATTCTTTTGAGCTAAAATTTAAAATAATGAGCCATGCAAAATCATAGTGATACATTATGCAATTGAATTCCTTATGTGATGAATAACAATGAATGTAATGATTGCTAATTATGTTCAAAAACCAGTTCCTGTGGGCAAATTAATGCACAGGACTGGGTTATGGGGCGTACTTTTCCTTTTACATGTATACTTTGCACTCATTCTTGCACCCTTACAAAAGGAACTTCCTCCAAAAAAAGCCACTGGTGTGATGGAAAGAAACATAGAAAATATGGCTAGATGATTAGAACTCAAACATATATGTACCTCATCAGAACTGGCACCTGTTCTTAAGCTTTTTCTTCTTGTTTTTCCTGTTCAGAAACACACACTTCAAATCAACATCATAAAATGTTGTTATTAACTTGACAGTTCCCAAAAAGTGGAAGTCAGAAGTTTGATCTCTCTCTTTGACTGATAGTTTTCAGTCTTCCAAAGTAAAAATAGTCATCAGCATTTTGTGAAGAAACTTGTGGATGTGCAAAGTTCAGCCAAGAGGGATATAATTCTATATAAAATGTTCTGAATCTTATAATTAGTCCACTTTGCATAACCTACTGTATCCCAGCCTCTAACTCCTACTCATGTACATGTAGCACTCATGTACTAACCTAATGCTGGGGATGTTTCTCTTTTGTTGCCCTGAGATGAAAAAAAATGAAAAATACAGTTAAAGGCACAATAAAAAAATCTGTACATAATTTAATTTTTTGAATCTCATTTCAAATGCCTAAGGAAGTACTGTACATGTATACATGAGCTTACATTTTTAACCCTTTAACTCCCATAAGTGACCAAGAAAGAATTTCTCCTTACAATATCAAAACAATATCAAGCAGAAAAGTGACGAGAATAAAGAAAAATATCAGTTAGGGGATTATCAGATGATCCAATACTAAATCCTCCAAACTAACATCACAAGAACTGTATGGGAGATAGTAAGGAGAATTACTAATGAGATCTTGGGAGTTAAAGGGTTAATACATTTGCATATAAATGTATATGACATCAAAAATTTGATAAGTTGAAATTTCTGAAAAAAGGAGAATCAGACGGAAAACAAAGAAAAAGAAAACGAACATTCAGTAGTTGTAATTTACTACTTGCCAGTTTATTTAAATGCAATGTTTTAAGAGTGGCCCAAAGACCAAACAGATATGTGTACATGTCAATTCTTATAGATAGTATTTTAGCAGGAACACACAAAAAAGATCAAAACTCACAGAGCCATCTGTATCAGCTAACTCATAATCTTCCTCATTCATCCACTCATTGAAAACATCAAGATCTGTCAACCAACGAGCATTCACCTACAAATTAACGAAAAAAAAGTTTCATGCCTGAACATATTCGAAGAACACTCCCTTAAATTATAAAATGTCAGGGAGAAAAAGTACTTGCCCTGAAATTTAATTAATATTGAACTAAGTTTACACAAATACTTGCATTCCCAAACATAGATTAATGGGCATTCATGATCTTTACTGCCAATGGTTCAAGCTTAGAATATGCTCAAGAGCACACAGTTCGTATATGTATACTGTATGTACAGGAAAGTCAAATATTCCCAACTATTTCCTTTTTTTACTTTGTCCAACATATGTGGGAAAAAGTACTCCATAAACAAGTATATTGAGAATGCTGAAGAACCAATGAAAGAGTTCACTGTGAATCACTAATAACGTATAGTGTACTTCAAAAATGGTTTTTAGCAGGTAGACAGTAGTCCTTTGTCAAAGTCAACACATATTCTTGCTGGTTAAATTTGAGTAAAATTCAGACAGGTACATGTCATGTTAGTTCATAACTTGGTTACCTGCCAGGGTCCCTGGTGTTGGGGCTCTGGCTGAGGCTCATCTTCGATGTCACTTGATGGCACCCAGGTGTCATAGCTAGAAAATGAGTAAACATTTATTTTAAAAAATTGTACTCATAGTAATTAGAAGGTAGAGTGAATAAAAATTGTCAAGGCATAGAAATTTCCAAACCTGTCTGGGTAGTACCACCAATGTACTAGAACTTGTTTGTCTTGTCTTAGCAGAGGCCTCAGCCACTCCTCTGTGGGTATAAATTATAATGGGAATACAGTAAATACCGAAAGAACTTGTTAAGAAATCATATAACATTAACAGCTGAGGGTAATTTAGTATTATCAACTGAGTTGATAACGTAAATTGGCCACCATAAAGAGTTCTAAAGCTGACATTTCAGGTTACAGGCTATAAGGCCTGAGATCAGTAGAACTTTAACTGTCTAGAAATACAGCAACAAAGAAGTAAAAACCTTCGGGAAAAGGTGGAGGAGGGCCATAAACAACATGACTTGCTTCTGATCTGTCTTCTGTTATAGCACCCTGAAAAAAAAGGGTATCGAGGGTTAAGGCTACTGGTGAGAATTTGAAGCTATATAAAGGCAATTTCCTTAAACTAATTAGAATTATCTTCTCAGTTTTCTTAACTCGTCTGCTTGACAATGTATTACAACTGTAAGAAGAATCTAGCAAACAATCAATTCTGTGAGTGAAAAGATTAAAATTATTGTAAATTCTTACATTGTGCCTCTTGACAATATCCTTTAATTTGGCAGCAAGTCGTGGATCCACTTCTGGTGTAATGAACACATTTGGCACGCTCAAAAGTTTAGCCTAATAAAAACAACAATGGAAAAATCAGAAAAGAATAGAATACTTTGGAAAGAGTCTTGACACAAGAATAATTGTAAGATCATGCCACTTGACTGTACATTTACCTCTCTTAATGCCTTTTCCATGTTCAAGAAGAGCTCCACATTTCTATCCATTCGTGATGGAGACTGGAAGTCAAATCTCCTCCTGCATGTAACAAAGAAAAAGATTGGAAAAATGACTGAGTCAGACATGGTATTATTGAAAGAATCTAACATCCACCACATTTAAGTATTGGTGTATGTTATATGTTTGATTAAGACAGAAACATTCTGGGTAGTTTTTATTAAATTTTTCTTTTTGATTTTTTAATGTTTCACATATAAATGAACATGTACATGAAACTCAGTCCTGAATGAAGAACTCACCATCCTTGCTCCATCTTGGTCTTAAATACATTTGCAAAGATAACACATAGACTGCCACCTGAAGAGTAATCCATGAACATCTTCATCTGAAACATCAAAAATAAAAACATAACTTATGTTAAACATCACATGATGGTAAAAATTGAAACAAATACAACATATAAAAACAACAAAAGTGAAGAACAGTAAACAAAAAAAAAAGGTAAACTTACTGGTAGTTTAGTCAAAAGTGCCTGCTTGCTAACATCCTTGCCAAAGTTATCCTTGAAGAAGTAAACCATGATTGAGATACCATTAAAATGAATCATAACCATTTTATGTAACTACCAGAACTGCACAATGTAGCCAAGAGAGCAATTTTCACATTGAGTGTCAAAAGTAATCTGAGATTGCATTGTTTTGCTTTACTTTGCTCTATGATTGGTCTAAAAGTTTTGCGCCAATGTCTCAACCAATCAGATACAAAACTTACACCAATCACTACTTGGTGGTTTCTGTTTTCGCACACTTCAGGCACTTAAGTTTCCTTTCTTCTGATTTGTCATTGAGTTTACTTTCTTATTGGTATTAGCTAAACATCACTTAATCAAAACCACTCTGATAACTTGAATTATAATCCAATTTACACATACTAGTGCCACCAAAATTGAATTATCTCTTCCTCTTCCCAGAAAACCACATAGATAATGAGAAAGAACAAGAATTACTAATCGAATTGGGGATTCGATCATGTTTTTATAATAAATCAAATGCTCATAAGGAGCCAACACAAAAATATGTAACAAACAACAATTCAGAGAATTATGTTTCTAGTCCTAGAAATTGAAAGGTTTCATACCCAAGATCATGTCATGATCGATTGTTCTGAGTTATAAAATGTTCATTTATAAAATCGATCAATCGGAAACATACAACGTAAAATTCATTTCACCTTAATTAACGCAATTACTGTATTAACAAAAGTTCTTGGTTTAATTTAGCATTTGAACTGATTTATTTCACAACCTAAATATATTTTTGGTAACTTAACTCTTTTAACCAAAATAAAAAAACGGAACATCAATACTCCAGAGCTTCTAGAATTAGATGGATTTTCATGTTATCCAATGTAGAATGTTAAAGATGTACAGTGAACTTTTGTAACCTGTCGTAATAAACATACGTACTTCTTGAAATTGTAGCAGCTGTGCTGTAAGTGTAGCGAGAGCTTTATTCGTAGGTGGTTCCACTTGCACATACTGGAAAAGATAACACGATTACGGGAAATCCAGTGTGAGCACTATCGACTCAAACTACTATTTAATTGAGCCATGTGTTCATCACGAACCTAATTTATTTGACAACGATTGTAATACATTATAGCACGATGTATTTTCAGTTTGAACCTAGAACATATAAAATGACTACTAACCTTTTTACAGTTTTTCAGCAGATACTGCTTGACCGGTTCAAAGAGAGCAATAGTATCGAGAGATTCGTAGTATTTCCAATCAGGAGCGCCATCCTTTTTCCGTGCCGCCATGTTGGTTTATTGTTTCAAGCGAAACAAAAGTGCATATATTGCATTTATGCGGAACAAAGTGTCCCCTATATACAAACGTACATGGTTCTGAAGAATTTATTTTCATCTTGGAAAAAAGTTTAATCCTAAGAGGACATCTTTTCTTAACATTTTCCTGAAATTTATTGGTCTTATCTATCAATTTCTTAAACAAAAAAGAATAATATCCAGACTCGTTTGGCGTCTCGTTCGCGGAAGACTGGATCAAGACTTCAGTGTCACGTGTTCTTAGATCGGAAAATATAGGAAAAAGCGCGCGATTACTGAAAATTCTACCACACTATTATTAGCTAAAAGTTGTTTTTCCAACAGTAGGTTGTTTTGTTCTCAGATAGCGTTCGTTGTATGATGAATCATAGAGAACAGTTTTTGAACTCTGTTGGAAACGATTCTCCGCAAGCTTTCCTTCGTTTTATAGAACAGCACGTAAGTGACCTACTTTAGTAAACTTACTTGCTTTTATTTTGCAGAGCGATCGCAAACTTGTCGCGATATTTTCTTTGCTCTTTTCCTTCGTACATGAAAGTGTCGCCAAAAGTTTATCTTTCGTTTATTTTAGTATTTAATCTAAAATTTTGGAAATTGAGTGTATGTAGCAAGCATCAAGATCAAAGATTCGAACTCAATCATTGATTTCACTTGTACTCACGCGCCGCATATTTGTAGGTGGCAAGTATATACCTGCATTCAGTTGTCATTAAGGTATCGAGCATGCATGGTGTAGTCTAGCGTACATTTTATTATGTCATCCACGGGATGAATAACAGGAATGAGGGCCATGTTTGCTTTTGTGGTACAATTATTAGATGTAACCACTATTTTGCTTTTATTTATCAATACATTTTTTTTCTTCAATAAATGCAACAGAACTCAAAGAATGATTCATTTAACATTGAAGAGGCTTTGCAGACTTTGCCAAAAAAAGATCACGAAAGATTGTGGTCCGGTCTCCGTGACATGACACGCAGACTTTTGTTGACAAATCCTGTTGGCTCTCGGGAAAATGATGACTCTGAAGAAGAAGGACCTTCGGTAACTCCAGTAATCATTTCTATTAAATTCGAAAATAATGTTAAGAAAAGTGCAAGAAATCAATGAGAGACCACGGTCTTTATTTCAGGTAGTAACAATACGTTTACAGAAGTTTGAATAACATAAATAGCATAAAGCAGGATGCTAGGCAGACATTGGACATCTCCAGCATTTTTTCAGGTTTACTTATCAATTAATTCAGGCTCATTTATACTCTAAGATGGATAGAGACTCTGGTAATTTTAATATTAATAACTAGATAAACCTTTCTCTGCTGGATAGCACAGTAGATTTCATCAACACTTACTGTGTATCTGCTACATTGCAATTTGTCCATTTCATAGGGTTATCTGCTTTCTGAATGACTGGGCCTTAACTCAAACTTTAGGTATCTGCAGTTCACCGCAATACATCACTGGGGCACTGTTACTGCACCTAGGATTTCTGAGTAAAGTTCTGTTAGAACATGAGATTTGACGATTAATGTGTTTACATAATTTTCCTCTAAGGAGTGGCCTGCTCTTCTGTCCTACCTGGAAGGGGTCACAACAGTGGGCCTCTGTGCTCTTGTTGTGATGCCAGAGAAGCCCACACATGTCCCTTCAGCTTTTTTGGAAACAGCTGCCATTCTTCATGGTTTGTTACATAATTATTCTATTCACCATCTTCTCTAAAGCTGATGTTTTGAGTGTTAGCCCTTTGTCAGAGCCAAAGACAAGGAGCTAGCACTTGAAACATCAGCTTTAGAAACTCTTTCTGGTGGCCAATTTACATTATCAACTTGGTTGATAAAAACAAACTTCATGTAAACAGTATGAATAGAGCAAAATTTGATGTTTAAGATTCAAAAAGTTCAGTGTTTAGACCTAAAATTTTGTTTTTCACATGTATTATCGTTAGGTCTTTTAATGTCCCTGCCTGAAGGATCTGAATCCTTGCAGAATGATATTGCCCAGCTGTGTGAACTTTGGTGAGTCTGTTATGCAACTTAACATGGATTGTACCATTCACAGAATGATTTAAAACTGATCTTTGTCTTAATGTTGTTATTTTCATAAATCTCAGAATATTTTATGTATGACATGGGATCAATGAAACATTTTTTTGTAAATCCATCATAGGTTTCTCAATGAACTGGAAGGAAAGGAGGAATTGATCACTCAAACTTTCCCATACCTGATAATAAGGAGCCTTGGCCGAGGATTGGTAAGCAATAACAACAATATGAAGAAAAATTGTTTATTCACCATTCAGATGAAAAGGGAAAAGGAGATAAAATAAGTTATACCTTTCTAGTTTATTTCCTCCTGAAAATAATTCAAACATAAAATATATTCATCTGTTTCGTGATATAAAAATGTCACACCCTCAAGTAACTTAATGTTTGCACAAAACATTCATATGATAATATCTGAGTCTACTCTTAAAAATGTTCAAATTGTCAGCCTCTGCAACTTCTCTTGGCAAATTATTCCATGTACTAATTATACATAATGCATAAAAATGAATATTAGAAACTATTTAAAGTTGTAGATGCAGAACTAAGTTTGAAACAGTAATTTTATTGTTTTCTAATAAATTTAAGCAACCTACATGCAAGGGTGTAATGGTGCAATTTTTGAAAAGAAGTGCTGCTTGACCAGCTCTCTTGGGAAGGATTTGATCTCCTTTAGTATCTCTGGTCCAATACATTTTGATTTGTAATCCTTCCCTATATTGTGCATTATGGTGGCATTTACCTATAACTCTCTGTATCAGAAATTTAGTGTAATGATCACTGGTAACACATAATTTACAATTATAATGACTGCTTATAGGTTTCTGATGTTAAACGTGTGTGGGGTTTACGCCAGTGTCTTCTTCTGATGGACTTTGATGATGACTCTTCTGAATCATTAAAGCAACTACTACATCAATGTATGATACACCCAACGTACCTCAAGTTGGAGGAGGTTGGTAGAATTGATAGAAACAGTACTACAGAGATGTATTTACATTAGTATTGAACTAGACTATTGGATACTAATGCATCTGTATAATCTAACCAAGCAATGGTTCTGGCCTCGGTTGTTGGGAGGGTGGATAATGCTGTTCACTAGATAAATCTCTATCTAGTAGATAGTGAGGTACCTTCCCTTAACCCTTTGACCCCAAAGAGTGACCAGCTTCTAGTTTCTCCTTACAATATCAACCCTAAATCAAACAGTAAGGTCACAAGAATAAAGGAAATGATCACCAATTCAAGAAGCTCTTGATTGTTTAACAAATTCTCGTATCAGAACCTCAGGAAATATTTAGAGAACAGTATGGAGAATAAGTATACTGATGTTAGGGTATAAAGGGTTAACAAATATCTCCTGGGTAGCAATTTATCCATAGTGTTTCACACCACGGGTTCGGGTACTACTGGTTTTAAAGATTCACTAGGAAAATAAAGTCCTCAGGGTCTACCAATTTTTTTAACTAGTTTATTCAGCAAGTTTTCTCTTGCACATGCTCTAGCTAGTCAACTAGCCACTAACTCTTAGAATTATAGGAATCCATTGAACAAACCAGGCTTTTTGCTCATCTCTCTAAAGGGACGTCGTTTCTTAAGCTATTCATTTGGATTGAATCCTGGACTGGCCAAGGAGTTCCATAAAACGATAAAAAACCAGATTCCCTACTGTACTATGTAAGTGCAATTCCCCAAAAAAACCTATTATTGTGATAATTTATTTAAAAGTGCTATATAGGTTGGGTGATTTTTTTGTTTTTCCTTTTGTCTCAGGTTAATGATGAAAGGAATTGTTAGCACAGTCTCTGTTACTAATGAGCAGAACATTAACTTTCAACACCTTTATTGCCACATGTCTTAAGAATTAGGAAAACTCAGTGTGAGAGAATTTGCCGATATTGAATTTTATAACATTCCTTGTCCCAAGATTTTTTTTTTCTTTTTCTACAATTTTTGATATGTATACCATCATGAGCTAGGATAACATTTGATATTCCTTATTCTGTTATCCCTTGACCCTTAAGAGTAACTGGCTTCTCTAAAATCTCCTTACAGTATCACCCTTGAATCAAATATACTTTTTTTAAAGGTCAGGAGAATAAATGAAATGATTGTAAACCAATTTATGAAGCTCCTGATTGTAAAACAAATTCTCCTTGTCATTTGCCATGGGAAATGTCAAGAGAACAGTGTAGAGAATATGAATGCTAATGCTAGGGTGTATTTAAGGTCAACTCATAAGACAATTGTCTCATTTTGAGGGTAATGTTTTAAAATGATTGTGAACAGTGAGTTTGTATCACTCAACAGAATGTGATCATGTAATTCCTTATGCTTACACTGTGTGTTATATCCTCTCCCAGGAATGTCCTGAGTTTGTATGGTGAAGTTTATTTTCGTGCCTGGAGAGTTGCTTCTGGAGCTTACTTAAAGGTGCACAATTCATTAACTTTATGTTTTAATTGAAATGTGTAACTTATTACAATATACAATGATAATTGTTTTGGGTTGTGTTGTGTCACAATGATCAGGTGGCTGAAGTTTATTCAGAAAAGGACTGTTTTTGGTGTTCACAGTGAACTCAACTTAAAGCATACAACTGTACATGTAGCTAAAATTTTGACAACTTTAACAAATGTAATTATTGTAGTAATTTTGCTTTCTGTTGCCTGCCTGATTAACAAATAGCTCTTTCCTTGGCCCTGGTGATGGTTTTGTTATGCAGTAAGGTTGCAAAGAGAGAGAAAAAAACAGTGCTTACACTGTACATGTACCTCTGACAACATTTATTTGCAGGAATACCTTTGCTGCATGATCCTGCCACTTGATTAATTGTTTCTTTCAAGTCAAACCTTTTATTTTCCTTAGTATAATATTCTCCTCCTTGGCTTTGACTGCATTTGGTTTTACATAACATACAACTCCTCTCAGAAGTCAGCCACGAAACAGTGGTGTGAAACAAGCTGGGGAATCTGTCTGAATACTCTATTGGCCTACATGAAGCCCACCATTTCATATCATGGATGGAAAAAACAAGATGCAGTAGCAGTGATTTTATAATTAAGTGCATTCTTTCTTATTATCGTCAGGTTTTAGAAGAAAACTGTATTCAAGACCTGATGTTTGCTGCTGTTCATGCACAGCGCACTGGTACTAAGTCAATGGCATCAAGACTACGAAAGGTAACCTGGTGCTGTTTTACAAATAAGATAATTCAGATGAATAAGTGTACTACATATTACACACAAGTCATATTATTCACAGTGGCAACCACATACTTCAAATCATCTTTAGACTGGATTTTTAATTACTGTCATTGTGTAGGGGAAAAAGACAACAACCCAAAATCAACTTGATGTATAGAATTTTCTATTAGAAGTATACTTTGAGTCCTTTTCAATATGTGACATATTGGAGTCAGATGATTTACCTAAGTTTACTCTCTCCTGTTGTTTGTGTTTAGGTTTTAGAATACATTCATCAGCAAAAGAAGCAAAGAGGAGTTGATGAAGCTCTTCTACGGTTGTACCAGCCAATTATATGGAGGGCATTTAAAGTATGTACATACACCATCATAACAACAGTTTTTAAACATTTTATTTAGCTCTGTAATTAATGCAAGATGACCCTTGAATACCTACATAGCGTCATGAAAAAAAATTTTTTTGTAAGAAAACTACTTATTCCTGTAGCTTTCCCTGCAGTAAAAAGGACTTACATTCATTTTAGATAAGTACTCAATCAGGCTCATTTTGCATCATTGTAAAGCTCTACGGTATTTAGTTTCCAAGCCTCTGCTGTCAACGAAATTCATACTTGCTTCTACGTAAAGACCAAAACAATTTTGTTTTAGGATATTTCATTTTTCTCCATTCAGGTGGCAAATCCTATGGTCAGAGCCAATGCAGCAGCTCTGTTGACAGATATATTTCCGTTGCAAAATCCAGATGCTGGGAATGAAGAGATTGATGAACTTCTACAGAAGCAGTTTGATATTCTGAAGGTATAGTGTATTTAGACCAATTTTTAGTGGAACAACGTGTGAAGCACCCATCTCTTCGTTTAGCAATACAATAGGTTGCAAGCTGAGTGCAATTATGATTACAAAAAATCTTTCTTCTGAACAGGACTTGCTTGGAGATGCACATCCTACAGTGAGAGCCACCGCCATTCATGGTGTCTGTCGCATCACCGGGGTATTCTGGGAGCTTATTCCGGCTCATATCATCAAGATGTTTCTAACAAAACTGGTAGGATCTTGCTGCTTGTTAGTGTCATAGAAAAATTAAACGCTGAAACCCCAATGAAACTTAGGGCCTCAGTTAAAAATCCTTGTGATCTATTTAACAAATAAAAACCATGTTACCGTGATTCTGTTCTGTAATAGAACACAGATGATGTTAAAATGTGGTAAGAACAAAGAAGTGGCGCACGAGGCGCAGCCGAACGTGTCACTGATTTACTTGGCACATGTTTACGTATTCTGCGATCTATTACTGTTCAGACCCGCGGCAACATGGAATCTCTCTGTTTTATATGGCAAAAAAAAGTTGTTTATGGGAAAGTCATCTATGTGTCTGTCTTCCATTAGATCATAAGTAAGAAGCAATCAAAATACGTGTATCATGTTGGCTTGTAATCGGGCCCGGTGTTTGAGAGAATACATTAAACACGGTGTATGGATTATTGTTAATTATCGGTTCTCACTTAGACCACCACAGGACATATAGAGTGTTAAAGTATTTGAATATTGTGATACACAGTCATCATTCGTTTGCTGGCAGGTAACAGAATTGGCTTTTGACACGTCCTCTAGTGCTGTAAGGGTAGCAGTTTTTCAGGTAAGAGACAAAGACATTGACGTTCACATTTTTGTCTACAGACAAGTTGGAAAAATAATTGAAAAGTGCGTCGGGCTGTGAGTATGTTCTAGGCTCTCTTCAATGTTACAGCACGACCTGCGAAACCCACACGATTGGAGCCAGAGAGTGCATCAATAGTGTGAGAGGTCTGGCTCGAAACGCGTGGGCTTCGCTGCTCGCGTCGTAGCGCCGATAAGAGCTTGTTGAAAGGCTACAACTCAGGTCGCAGGCAGGTTCATTAGGAGGTTTACGTTTAAGAAAAGCCAAAAAATGTAATCAAATTAGAAATGAAATTTGGTTTTGGGTGTTTTACATTTCGAAAGTGCTTAACCGATTTAGAAAATGGGCAAATGCAAACTCTTTGTTGAAAAATTCACTCTAAGTTGTACGCGTTTAATAGACGCTTTCGCAGCAATTCCTGTTCATGAACTAGTTTACCAAGGTTTAAAATTAATTTCTGAGTGGCTAACTACTTCAAAGGGGTGTCGTAAGCTGGAACTACTTTCGAGAATATCTGTAGTTTTTCTAAAGTCTTCACATATGTATCACTATTTGTCGTTTTGTGATACATAAGAATCCACGTCCAATTTTCTTAGGGCTTAAAATTCTTGCTGGACAATCGTCTCAGTCACCCTCTATTGAAGCCGTTGCTGAGCAATTTGCAAGACCTGGTGCATGATCAGACGGAGAGAGTGCGGGTGGTTTTTCTTGATGTTTTGCTGTTAGTCAAAGGCCTCAAGGCAATAAAGGTTAGTTGAAGCAGTGTGTGAATGTTGGCAGGTCTGCTTTTAAGCATGCACATACATGTAATACTCTTTTAAAATGCACGCAAACTGAGTCTGGTTGTGTATTTTGGAGCCAGACCGCCTGTCAGAAGTTAGGTGGTGACGCCAAGACAGAATTAAGACTCTGGATGTAGCTTGTAAACAAAAAGTGTGTTTAGTTTATAAATGCAGCGAAGCTACCAAGCCTTCTTTCACTTCAATTTTATGGCTCAGGAAACTCAGCATAAGCGTCACACGCGGAAGAAATAAATACATGCATTTATCGTTACATGAAGCAATATACTTGACGTTCTGGGATCGGTAACAAAAACATCACATGCTGAAGAACACCAAGAGTAAACACAACAAACATAGATGAACACGTTTTCCCATTCTGAAAGCGTATTGTCTGAAGCGCAAGTCGTCGCCATTCGATGCGACAGGCACGATCCGTCATCGTGTGGCCACCTTCATACTCGTTGATGAATTGCACCCTCCGGATAAGAAAAAATATTTATTTCCATAGTGCAGATGTTTAGGCTGCCAGATCTGCTACGACTCTGTCGGACAATGTAGCTACTAAGAGATTCTTTCTTTTTGTTTCTTTTCAGTTCTGGAATATAGTGCCACTAGAACAGTTGCTCGCTCAGTTGGAGGTGGAACAGTCTGCGGCAGTGATAAGGAGACTTGTCAAACTGCTTGTCAATTCATTTCATCCCACTAACAAGAGTGTTGATGTACAGGTGAGTTAAATGAGGTACAGAGGGAAATTCTTGTTTTCTCTTGAGTATGCTTATTAGCAATAAACCACACTTCCTGTTGGTTTACCGGCGTAATAAACCGCGCGGATGTTGGGAGAACACGAGAAAGGTTTGAAAGCCACGAGCCGGAGACGAGTGATTTATAAACTTTTCTCGTATTTCCCAACATCCTAAGTGGGTTATTATACCGTTAAACTGATATTAAGTGCGATCTATCAAAAAAACGCTCATTTTATTGCATTGGGACAGGTAGGATAATTCTCTTGTATTTTACCCGTTTGTTGTAATAGAAGACGTGCATAGCTATGGCACGCCTTTTTTCAAGGGAATCACCCTAACACCAAACCACAATGCACAGCGGTAAGAGCTATTCGCAAAGCACGAAAACTTTCTTTACACAAACTTAACAATCGTAACAATCTTCCAATCTGCATTGTTCTACTGCTTCTGTAATGGTTTGTTTAGTTTTGTGGGTGTTATATGCTAGCCCTATGCTGTTTTATTAAATTTCTGGTGGTGGCACAAATGAATTCTGAAAGCATGGTGTTGGGTAGCTAGAAATTGTTATATGCCTCAAAATTAATTAAAATTCTAAACATTGTAATCCTTCCTTAAGCCAGTTACTTCAAACAAAAGCCTTATTTCTGAAAGTCACTAAACAAGGTTTTTCTGTGTCATTTGCTTGTTTTCTCTCACTCTGCGATCTTGTCTGTAGCCCCTCCCCCCGTCCCTCACCTCGCCTCACCCCACTCCCTTTACAAATACGACTAAAGCGTTAAGCATTTATTTGTATCTTTACTTGTAGGCCACTCGGTGTTCAGCTTTGTGGCAATCCAATCCTCTTGCAGCCAGGAAATTTTATCAATATGTTCACCTACACACAACCATATCAGCAACAGGTTAGTATCTGCGATAGTATTATAAGCCAAAGTTCTTTTGAAGACACCTTTGAAGCAGATGTTCCGGTCCAAGGAATTTGACTAAAACTGGCGCTTTTGTTGTTAAGTAGACCAAGAGAAAATAACTTGGGAAAATTATTGAAAATTAGAAACTCAAAACTCATTGTAACAGCGGGTTAAATGCTCTAACGAGGATATATTCATTATGATTTATTAGTGTTTAAAGTTGATTTTTTCATGAAAGGGTTGAAGCGGCCTTCTAATTTATATAAACTTTTACAACAAGTAATGGCGAATGGATAAATTCTATTTTCCTGTCATTAGGCTGTCAGCAATTTTAGGCTCTACCCTTGCCGTGAATTTTATGTCCAACGTCAAATTCTCAACTACTATTTAATGAACATGCATATGTTTGTTTGATGGAATTTCACATTCAGTGTTTCTCTTTTAGGCAAGTTCATAGCATTTCTGGGTAACTGCCTGGTGAAGTGTGCAAAAAATGAACATGATGAAAGTCTGTCCTTGGAACCTGTTAGCCAAGGTAAGTGATACAAATCTGAATCTGAAGATATTGTTGAGAGAATAGAACCTTGGTCATTTTATTAATTTTTTTTCCCCATTGTAAATGTCATTTTCTGGTAAGCTGAGGACAAGGAGAATTCTGAGTGCTTGGAGAAACTTGGGACATATGATGTTAACACACTAGCGGGCCTGGCTGAGACAATAGCCATCTGTTGGGGAGGTATTAAGGACAAATTGGACAAGGTATTCTTCATTGAAACCTGATTTTCACACATTTCATTTAGTTAATTAATCAGGAAAGCGAAGAAATCAACGTAGTTGTAAGAGGCTCGAAGACCGAGAAACCACAGGGATTACTTCAATTCTGCACTCCATTATGAGAAGGCCTTTATTGTTTGGAGTGGGGGTTGA